CTGTAATTCAGAGCCATTTCTTTTTCACCTTGAATGTTGTGAAATGTTACTGCAGTTTCCTTTGACAGAACTTTCTTGCCACTGTTTGGAATCTTAAAAATTTATTCACTGTGTGCTTTCAGAAGTAAGCTTCCTCTTCATCAGAGATGATTTCCTGTGTATATCCTTTGTTCCTTCAGCAAACTAACCTGCTTAAGGTTACTTACATGGAAAAAAGAAAGGTTTACATATGCAGATGACTATTAAACTTATAACTTTATGTAACTCGTGTTACGTCAAATAACAGGCTAATCTAGTTTGTTTCACTGGACTATTGTGGTATCCTTCAAAACAACTGACATTTAATAGGTTTCATTTTGAAACGATGTACAGACAAGTCCCCAACTTAGAAACCAGTTTGTTCTTAAGGTTCTTGAGTCAGCCCACAGAAGCCTTCTGACTTCCAACACGGCTGAAATGTCAGCCAGATCTGGTTGGCTGTTGTGGGCTGACCTGGAAATGGAACTACCCGCTATGTTGTTGCTATGAGAAATGCATTCCAGGTTGGGACTTGGGATCTTGAGAACACATTCTTCTCCCCGTGGTGGCCACTTGCTACCTTGCAAGATGGAAGTCCAGTCTCTTTACAACAAACTACACTTGTAAGGGGAGAGAGGGAGTGAGAAGTTTATAGGACATTCCCTAAGTTGGGGAGTGATTTATCTAAATATTCATGTCAACTTCACTTGGATATAGAGTCCCTCTCAATTTGGTAATATTAAGAGCCTTAAATAAAACTATGCATGCCATTCTATGTGCTTTTTTATATCAGTAAATAAGCTTATGCTTGCCAGTTTTATACACAATTATGAGGTGTGTAAAACTGACTTTTGACAGTATTTTTTGCACTGTTTCCTATCTGTTTTTATAAAGTCTTATTTAGATATTGGTTGTAGTTGCATATTATATTCTCACTGCCCTTGTCATTGATTTTAAATGTTTCATATGTGCCTTTACAAATGTGAGATCTTTATTCTAACCTTTTTTTGTAAAAGATATCTATTGATTTCCATATGCAATAAACCTTTTTTTTTTTTCCCAGAGAGAACAGTTGCATCTTCTCTCTTCCGTACTATGTATGTTTGCATTAGTTGAAAGTACCTACATCTCTTAACATCTAGGATTATTTTAGGATAGGCAAAAATCTGCTATTCTGAGAAAATCTCCTTTCTCAGTTTTTTAAAGCCTATTATTGCCACCCCTTTTTCATTCCTGTATAACTTGATCATACTGAAATTTTAGTTTGAAATTTCCAAAGTTGTCATTGTTAGAAGAAACCTTTTGAAATGTGGTGGCTAGGCCAATGAAGAATACATAGAAATGGGTCTTCTTCACAAATGCAGTGATACCCCTTATTAAGCTGCATGTCCCTTCCTCCAACTGACATTTACTCAGATCCCAGACTGTTGACCTGGAAAAGATAAGCACCAGGCGGATACAGAACCCAAAGTCTTATTTTTGTCTTTCAACTTTATTAACAGCCCAACTCATTTCTAGCTTTAAAGGTGGCTGTCCTGCTCCATATTTTCAGCCAATCAACTGCTACAGACATACACATGAACCCCTGGTGATGAGGGTGGATGCTTGCTTTATGTATCTCTGATAAGTCACAGGGCAATATAACCACTTCTGTGAGAAACCCACGTACAACCCTGTCACTGTTCAAGGAGTCATTGACCTACCAGAGTCCCAGCTTGTTCCCCATTATGAAAATGAGAATCCTGTGAGCCACTCTGGGGTGGAAGGAGATGGCAAGCAAATCTCATTCAACATATAAATAATTCTGTGTATACAGTGACGTGGCAACAAAACAATTATAGTTCTTGAAAGAAAAGCCACATAGTGTTAAAAAAGATGATAACAGACAAAATGCCAATGAAAATGGCACGAAGTCAAGTGGAATGGCCAGAGAAAAGGTGCATATGTTAATTTGTTTTCTCTTTCATGGACTGAGTGAATAGAGTCAGTTTATTTTCTTTGGTTGATAAACAGAAAAAGTAGTCTTATCATATAATTTAGAGAGAAAACTAACCACTAGTAGACCTGTTTATCTCCAAATAAACTATTAGCAGAGCTGAGAAAGGAAATTTAAAAAAAAAAAAAAGAGAAGAAAACCCAAAAGAGCAAAGATAAATATAAGAAAAACATAAAAATATGTAATAAAATGACCAAACCAGGATCAAACATGTCTATGTTATGTGATTTTACATTTTATTTAATAACAAATGGGGAAAACTTGTCAGACTTAATAGAAGAAAAGAGCTCCTTCATAATAACTATAGAAAACATAAAATCTGGGCATTAAGAACAATGTGTAGGACTGGTATAAACATAACTAAACCCCTCTAAGGCGAAACATAGACAAGCTGATAAACTCACCACATTCGTGGATAGAAAGACTCATGTGAGAAAGAGCTCAGGTCTCTGTGTGTCACTGACTCCATGCAATTGTAATAAAATCACAGCACCACTTTTGTGGGGAGACGGGAAAAGGCCCAGAGAGGAATTGGCCAAATGATTCTCAAGTACTCTGGAGAGTTAAACATGGGAGAATGGTCAGAAAAACTCAAGAGAACACAGAAGATTAGCCCTAGTAGGTACTAAAAGTTTTGCAGTGCCACAATAATTAAGACTAGTTTATTGGTATCCGAATAGATCAATAGAGTGAAATAGTGCAGAAATAAACTTAGGTCTTAGGGCAATGATAATGGTACCAATTCAAATCAGCAGGGGAATACATCGTTCAATAAATGATGCTGGCCTAAATGGCTAGCAATTTTGAAAATTAAAAATTTTAAAGAGTACAATTGGATCTCTTACTATTGAATAAAACAATTCCAGATAGATCAAACAAAAAAGTTTTATTTCTTCCTTTAAAGATGAGAACAATCTGCCTTTGTACAGCAAGTGTCATGAAAAATAAAGTTAATGGACAATCGGGAAAAATATTTTCGATACAGGACAAGGAGCAAATATCCCAATATACATGGAGCTCTTAGAAATTATTATGAAAGACATCAATAGCAATAGGCAATGGCCATGAATATCAACAGAAGGAACATAATAATTCCTAAATATATGAAAAAGTGCCCAGCCTCATTAATAAATGCATATAAAACAAAATATTTCACACATTAGATTGGCAAAAATTTTTTTAATGATACAGTGTTACGAGGGTAGAGGAAAACAAATACTACAAGTTTTATTTCCTACTGGTACCTGATGCAGTTTTTTATAAAAGGAAATGTGGCCATATTTATTCAAATAAAAAAATATTTCCAGGGCCAGCCCAGTGGCATAGCGGTTAAGTTCGCGCGCTCCACTTCGGCGGCCCGGGGTTCGCAGGTTCAGATCCCAGGCACAGACTGACGCACTGTTTGTCAAGCTGTGCTGTGGCAGCATCTGCTATAAAGCAGAGTTAGTTAGATGGGCACGGATGTTAGCCCAGGGACAATCTTCCTCAGCAAAAAAAAATGTTTTCTTCCTCAGCAAAAAAAATGTTTCCACTATTTGAGCCTGAAATTCCACTTCTAGGACTCTGTCTCCAAAAATGCTACCATACGTCAGCAAAGTTCTATGTCTAAGATGATTGTTCATTGTGGCATTGTTTATAACAGCAGCAAAGTGGGAAAACCACACATCCATAAATAGGAGAATGGCTGAGTAACTTATGACATACACAGTCGCCTCTAAACAGAAGGACGCAAATCGGTGAATGCCAAAATGAAAAGAGGTCCATGTTGTTAAGTCAGAGAAGCAGATTACAAACTATGTCAGTACCATTCTGCCTGTGTTTTTCTAAATCTATTTATATAGGTACATTATACAGGCAGGGGAAAAATTGGGACCACATAAGCCAACTGTTTACAGTGGTTACCTCTGGGAGTGGTACTAGCGAGGAAGAAGGAACAGCTCATGTCTTTCAGATATGTTTGTATTATTTAAATTGAGACAGTATTTTATAAATTTTATAAAACCTATAGAGCTTATTTTAGGCTCGGCTACATTCGCATTCTGAAAACACTACGCTCCCCAGAGCCGAGACCGTGCCTTACGCATCTACGCACTCAGAGCTACACAGAGCGTTGTGTAGGTGTTCAATGAATGTCCTGTTGCACTTCACTGGACAAGAGAAGCATTCTACCTGCTGAATCCCACTGTGTGCAGTTAACTGCGTGTGTGAGACCTGCATGTGTAGATGAGGAAGGAGGGGTAACATACCAGATTTACAGCTGTTCAAGCTGTCTGCAGATTACCACTATGAAACAAAAATGAAGTATCAACTCCATCGGGCTTTCTTACCTAATGGGGAAGTTCCTCTCTTTGGACTACAAGAAACTCCTAAGAGAAACATCCCTGAGCTCCGGATAGCGCACCGCTCTGGGCCTTGCCCCTCTCTGCCGCGGTTGCTAACAAACAATCCCCAGGTTGCTGCTGTCCAGGCTGTGGGGAAGCTGGATTCCTGCTGGCCACGCCGGGAGCCATCCGTGTTTGCTCAATAACACAGAGTTGGTAAGGAAAATTTTTTCCTTCTTAAGCTTACCCTGAAGTGTTTCCAAACAAGGAGAGTACTCCACAGAACAATCAACAGAGTGAGAGATGGAAAAGTCTGCTTTCAGACAGATGAGAAAAAAAAGCCAAGGAAGAGAAGCATGCATTAAGCACCTATATGCATCAGAGGGAAACCAGACACTAGACAGAAGAAGTAAAACAAACACATTCTCTTGCCAGGGAGGGGCACCCAGTCAATGAATTGTTCTCCACCACAGATACCATTTTTTCCCTTCTTGCACCTTCCTGCTTTCTTCCTCCACTGGACTGTGAAAGCAACTGCAGGCTACAGAGGCCCCGCCCGGGGGAGGCCTGGGCCCACCACCTGATGCAGACCAGGTGCGATGTCCACCCCAAGACTCGGCTCCCAGCACCACTTTGAAATCCTCCCACAGACAGAAGAAAAAAACTTCAAGTAGTATTATCTTTTTTATTCTTTCATCCTTTAGCTGTATTGAGCACATTACAATAGGCATGAAGGGAAAAATAATTGCATCTTTTAAACTCAATCTGTCCAAAGTATATTATAATCTATGAAACCATGACATTATCTCTTAGGAAAAAAAGGCATTCAAAAATTAAGGTTAAAGATTAAGACCAACTTCCAAGTAAGACACGTGAAGGGTTTAAGTGCAAGTAGTGTTTTCATTCCAATGATTTTACAGAGATGCTGGAGTGAGGTGTACGATATGAAATATTCAAATCCTTGGAGGTTTCTGCACTAGTATTTAAATAAGAACTAACATGTTGGCATAGTTTCAGTGGCTCTCAATTTCCTGTTTGATCTCAGAAATGTAAGGATGATCTTTGCCGTGAGCTACTTCCATGATTGCAATGGCCTGGGAAAGAGAGAGACAAAGAGATGAGAGCCCGAAGCCAGTCCCCTCACATCTCCACCCCTGGCTAACTTTACAAGTTGGACTTCTCCACTATGAGGCACAGGATGCAAACTGGCTCTTAAAGCCTGTGTTCTCATCCAGAGTCTGGCTTAAAAAAAAAAATAGACAAGATTATCTGGTAACGAACTGGTCACCCAGTCTCTAGCTCCAAGTAAAACATTCTGCAATAGCTGAAGAAATGATACAGAGAAACTGATTTTCTGACACTGTTTTTTTTTTTTTTTTAAGATTTTATTTATTCAGTTTTTTCCCCCCAAAGCCCCAGTAGATAGTTGTATGTCATAGGTTCACATCCTTCTAGTTGCTGTACGTGGGACTCGGCCTCACGTTGGACGGAGAAGTGGTGCCTCGGGGCGCTCCCGGGATCCGAACCCGGGCCGCCAGCATCAGAGCGCGCGCACTTAACCGCTAAGCCACGGAGCCGGCCCTTTCTGACACTGTTTTGATTCAATATTCTAGATATTTCAGTAAAAGATGCTTTAGGGACAGAATTATTTGGCTGTGCTAAACCAAGTAAACAGGTAATGCTAAAAGAGAAAAGTCCACAGTGAACTTGAATCAAAACGACTGATTTTAGTTTTCATCACTCATTTTTAAGACGAGATCAAACCGTTTTTCCCTTTCAAAAAGTGCATGCTTTCCTCTTAATATATATTCTTAAAAAACTTAAAAATAGGTGCAGGTTTCATCTGAGGAAGCTAGAGAGAATGTATTTAATAAGGTTTCTTTATAGCGAGGCAAACGAAGTGGACGAGGTACCAGTGGCTCCATCATTTCCCAGCTGTGTGATCTTGGGCAATTTACTTAACTACTCTGTGCCTCATTTTCCTCATCTGTAAAGTAGGAATGATACCTACCTCTCAGAGTTTAGAATGGTGTTTAGAATAGGGCCTGGCATATAGGAAGTATATATCGAATGTAATCTATAAGAATTTATTTTGCTCTTTTGTATTCAACTCTATTACTCACAGATATAAAAACTTAAATTACTCCCACTGCCCCAAACAGGGAATTTTTGATGGCCTATGATTCTGACGGGCATTCCTTTCCATTATACCACTCTCTTTCTGGATCCCACACCAAAAGGCGGCAGGCCAAGTAACAGTGCAAGCCTTCAGGAATCATCTGCTTTAAATGCCTCCCCTTGCGCTCTGCCTTCATTTCACGACTCACATTCCTTGCTCAGACCTACTCTATCCTTCATTGATCTTGTATTTAATTACCCACCAGCACTTGGCAATTGTGACCTAACTGGTTAATTTTCCACCAACTCACTAAGGCAATAAATATGTTATCTTAGAAGACAAATTCCATGGTTTAAAAACAAAAGATGTTATGCTTAACTCACACTTCTAGCCTGGCTGGGCCCTGACCCTTCCATTTGGGATGTGGAACCTTATTCCATCTTCCTGCATAGTCTATTGGGAAGACTTGGGGAATCTGGAGAATTAGGTATCTGGGCCTAGTCAGTGTCCCCCACTTTCACAAACATTTTCTGACAGGAGTAAATAGACTGTGCCAAAGATTACATTGTATCAACTGTTAACTTCTACATGAAGAACAATGAGAATCAGTGCTCAGGATGGTGACTCTGAGCAGCTGTAAGGTGCGAAGGTCAGAGTCCCGCCCGCTCGCCCACTGGCAGCAGGGTGGCTGTCAATCACCGAGGGGGCAGATGTTGCCCAGGGTCCAGGTTTGCCCTGTGTGTCAGTCACAGTGGGAGTGGGTGGAGCTGAAGCTTTCAACTCAGAAAGACCCCAGTTGAATGAAGGCCTCTCCACATACTCTAGTTACTTAACCTGTTTGAATCTCAATTTCTTCATCTACTTAACCTGTTTGAATCTCAATTTCTTCATCAGGAAAATCTATCTCATTTTTTGTGAGAATTAAAAGAAAAAACACACATGAGGGTCCTGGCATGTAACTGGTACTCAATGAACAGTGAAATGATTATCAAATACACTTTAGGAACTGCAAAGGCATAATCCTAATAGTGAGGAATTCTCCATATCCAACTGCCTTGATTTCACCACAATTGGGCCTCATAAATCTGTAAATCCTAAAGGCAGACAAATGGAAAATTCCCTCACCACAGTCTCCCGACCCATCTAGTGGCCTCTGTCCACTTGCACGGCTTCACATGGGACAGGGGCAGTACCCACTTCTCCCCAGTCATGGGCTGAGCGTGCAATCACGGCCAGCCCTCTCAATGTGTACACCCTTTCCTTACAGGAGGGCCTGGACACAAACCTGGCAAAGGCTCCAGGACTTACTCCACCCTCCCCTACCCAGCCCATCCCCTCCCACTTCTATGGCCCGAGGATGGGTGGAGAGCTGGTCATTCTCCAGGACTTCAGTCACTCTGCCTTATCAGGCATGAAGGATGCGTGCTAGGGAGGCCGTGGGGTCCCTGGGAATCCTACCCTCACGGCACAGACTTACTTTCTTCAGGGCTTTCTCTCCAGCAGCTTTGTTTTCCAGGCCCATGTACAGTCTTCCTAGCTTCAACCACATGGAGGCCACGTTGAGGGAGTACAAAGGATAATGCTTACTGGAAGAAGAGGAAAGACAACGGGCTACCTTGTCAAAGCCTGCCGAGCAGCCCAGAGGCCAGCGCAGCAAGCCTGTGGCTGCTGAGCACATGGCCACACTCTCCATGGCAGCCAGGCTTCTCCAAACCCTGACAGGTGCTGGGTGGAGAGTATGGATGGCTCAACCCTGCATAACCACTTCTAACCAATGAAGTAGATGCACTTCATTTTATGCAGTTTGTGTGTTTCTGAAAAGCTACATAAACACTGCAAGAGAAATTCTATACAAAAACACTTATAAACACAACATTCAATCCCTGTCCCAGATTTTTGTGTTAGGTGCACCCAAAGCAGGGCATTCGGAAAACATCTTTTAAAGTAAATTCCCTATTTAAGAGGACATTAGGCCTAGCCCCTCATTAGCAAGGCAGTATACTTTAAATATACACCCCAATATGTCTCAAGACACCAGCTTCCTGTCACTCTATGATGTCAGTTGGTTTAGCAAAACTATAAGCTCTCTGACATCAGAACTCCTGTTTCTTCTAGATACTCTCTCTCTTGTCCAGTAGAGGGCTTTACATACGAGAGGCATTCTCTCTCTGGTTTGTGAAGTGAAGGCTGACTAATGGCGTCTGCCTAGGAAAGGGCCATTCCCTAGGAACAGAGACCAGAAGGCAGCTCACGGGCGAGTGTGTGTGTCTGTGTGTGTGTGTGTGTGTGTGTGGCCCCACAGAAGGCCAGAGCTGGGCCTCCAGAAGGGGCTCACTTAGCTAAGGAAGGGTCCAGCACCCACTGCAGAGCCCTGCTGGGAAAGGAACCACAAGGCTAAGATGATCTCATTCTCTCTCTCTCTCTCCCTCCCTCCGTCCCTACAGATCTCACAGAGGGAAGTGTGCATGAGACCAGAGGACTTTCACCCACCCCAAGGAGGAGGATCCCCAATGTAGCAAATTGTTTCTAAGAGCAGATTTTAAGAGCTCCATTCTCCTTGGGCTCCCCCTGCTGGCTACTCAGGGCAGCGTGAGGTAAGCAGAGGGCCCACTTGGCAGTGGAAATTCAGACTAGGCACAAACTTGACAGTCCCCCATCTTAGAACGCAAGGGAGTACTGACGGCTTCTCAAATCATGAGAAACACCTGGGTGCTACTGGCACACAGGGATTTCAGATCTAATGCCCAGAGACTCTGATCCACTTGGTCTTGGGGAGACCCTGTAAATTCATAATGTAAATAAATGTGTTTGACAAGCACCCCAGCGACCTGATCTAGGCCATCCCAGCCCTGAAGTAGCTAGTCAGAGCCAGAGGACAATGCCACGACCTCCATCTGTCACCCACTTTAAGATTTAATAACCCCCTCAACAAGAAACTTCCCCATGGCTGATATTCATTATTACTATACGTCAAAACCCAATCTGTTTTATTCAAACCTAGGGGAGATGTTAAATAACCACAGCCAACCCAGTGGTCCCAGAGTTTCTCCATTTGCAAACCGGGCTGCAATTTAAAAAAGCACAAGAAGGGGATAATGTGAGTAATGATGGAAAAGCAGGGCTTTTGACACTGCTGTTCACCAATTAATAAGTACCATTTAACCTGGAAGGCACGAGAGGGAAAAGAAACAAACTGGTGGCTTCTTAACACTGGTCTGAACTAAGCACTATGGATCTAGCACCCCAGATAGGTCCTGGGAGGGATCTTGCCCCAGCACCCCTGCATAACCTCAACTGCCTCCATAGGGGTCTCTTCCGGATGATGGAGGGAACAGCTGGGCCCAGTAGAGAAGCACCCTGCACCTGAACCTCCAGGTGTGGGTGCAGAGAAGAGAAAGCTGTCCTAGGCATGTTCCAACACGGGACAGTCAAAAGACAAAGCCAGGGTACGCATTCCAAATCACCAAATTCCATTCCGTGCTAAGATGATCGGACCAGCCATTGCAATCACCTGTAGGGCTTAATGATTTTCTGTCCGTATCGCAGGGCCCCTTCCCAGTCTTGCATGTACAAGCAGACGCCCATGGCCTGGTACATCATGTGCAGCATGTACACGTTACTGTCCTCAAACACGGAGCTCATCTTCTCCTGGCTGAGCTCGCAGATCTCCAGCAGCTCACTAGGGGGTGCTCTGGCGTCAAGGAAATGACAGGCCGGGCCCACCTGATGGAGACTTCTCAAGGCTGGGCTCAAGGATTTATTTCATCCACTCCGCCCCTACCCTCACCCTCTGAAAAAGTAAATTCAGAAAGCCAAGCAAAAGTGAAAGGAATCACAATTTTCTTGGAGAAACAAACTCAGAAAAACTGAAGACCTCAACTGTTCAACACAACTCAAGAATTTTAGCCACAGGGAACAGACTCTTTAGTTCAGCTGTAAACAATGTTGATTAGAATCACAAATCTTCAATCTTCCAATTAAATCTAAACCCTCACCCAAGATGAGCACTCTAGCTGAAGTATTTTTAAGGAAACAGTCCCCACCATGGGAAAGTTTTTTCTTACGCTGAGAAACAATATGCCTTTCTCCAATTTCCTTTCACTGGTTTTACTTCCTCTCTCAGTACAAATCGAACGCCTTTTCGACACCCAAGAAAATACCATAATGTAGTGGAATAAGAATATGGATCGTGGTAGTCAGTAGACCTGGGGCAAAATCCTGGATCTGCCATGGTGAACTCTGTCCCTTGGGCAAATTAGTTGCTAAGAGTGTTTTCATCTGCTACATGGGGACGGCACAGTCCCTTGTGAGTGTCCTTGTGAGGTCAGATGAGATAATACACAAAGCCCTCGGCACTGGGCCTTGCCCCCAAATAAAATATACCCTATAAATGAGGGCCTTCAAGGAACTGTTCTCCACAGTTTTAGACAATAAAACTCTTCTAGCACATTGAGCTCCTGATCAAACTAGTCAAACAGGGAGAAATAAGGTAAGATCAACATGATAAAACTTTGATGTGGTTGACTCCAAGTCACGGGTAGTCTTTACACATTTACCAGGAGACATTCTTCCTTCAATACGCAGAATCTTAAACCCATCCTTATTCTGTTCCCTCTTCCCAACTCTCCGGCACCTCCTACAGGTGAGGGACAAGAAACTGTCTGGACAGTTGAAAGGATATATTTGTAGTGCTTGGCCCTCCGGAACTCCTCGATGACATTGCGTGCATATCTGACCATGTCACGGATGGCTTCTGCCTTTGGGGGATCGTTGAGCTTCCGGATTTCCACCTTGGCCTTATCCTGAGAGAAATGTCCACAAGTGTAAGGTGCTACCTCCCATGAAACCATACTGATGGGGAAACCTCTCCAATAGTACATTTTCCCAAGCAGACGTAGAGGCTTGCCCATTCTAAAGTTACGAGAGAATGAAAGGAAATCAGGCAATGAATCTAAGAGAAATTCAATACTCCATTACCTTTTTACAAAAACCAACAAAAACATTAATTTTCTAGACAATCCTTATCTAGGCAGGACACCTAGACCATGTTTGTTGTGAGCAGATTTGTGTTAACATATCTATGAATCAAGAGAAGAGAGAATAAGGAGGGGTGGCATGGATAATTTGGGCAATGCCAAATAATTTGGGCAATGCCAAAGAAAATTCTGCATATTCTAGTGAATAGGCTGGAAAGCCTGAAAATTACTCTCATGTGATTTTCCCGTCCCTCTCTTCTGAGCAGTCATTTCTTTTCAAGAAATAGCAATTGGGCAGATCCTTTTCTTATTTGTACGGTGTAATAGAAATGTTTCTGTCAGCTATGACGAGCAGGTTGGAACAGACACCTGGTCTAACTGGATCCCTCTGGCTGTCTTAGTAAGGCGGACTTAAAGGGTCAAAAAATACCATGGGAGGAGACACCCCACGTCAGACAGGGGTGCTCGCTTGGCAGAAGGTCCTGAGACACAAAGCGTGGTAGGCGCCCTCGCCGGCTCGGGGAGCTCACCTTATCCTTGGTGGTGCACTCCTGGCACTCGCAGGTGAAGAAGTAAGAGTCTCGTAACCGGTCATTCCTATCTTCTGTCGGGTACAGGAGATCAATGTAGCTAGTAAAAACCTAAGGGGGTCCAAAAAGTTGATGCCTCAGTCTGCTACAGGTAAACTCACTCCTTATGCTTCCTTTGGCTCTGCCAACACCTGTGGTGGTCTGCTTTCGGGGACAGGCCCCGAGGACCACAGCTCAGGACATGCTCCTTACGTTAACACGCTGAATTCCTTAAACTCAGCAACCTCCTAGTGTGGTCCACCTCCTTGTGGTGAACAGACAGGGCTTCCCTTCCCACATTCTATAGAATCAAGGAGTCCCCAGAATAGTCAACCGGAGGGTTGAAAGCATCCCTACCTCTTTCCTCCCCAAAGAGAGCAAGCTGTGGATCTGTCCCAGCAGGAGATGCCTTTATCTCATGTATGGAAGCAAAGGCTCCCCCGACCCTGGGCAAAGACCCTACTCATCCTTGGGGTTGGCCCTGGGCTGGATCTGCCTGGCTTTTATTTAGCCTCCTTTAGTCACAACCAGGGACAGCTCAGATGCACTGCTGGGTGGGTGGGAGGGGAGCATGAACACACACATACTGATATGCTTCCCTTTCTCCTTCCATAGCTGGCAACGGAGTATGGCTCAGCAGGCCAGGACAAGCCAGTGTAGGGAGGACGCAGCTTCTAGGACACCAGCGTGCTGCTGCATTTCCCAGCTGGGCCAAAGAGTTTGAAAAAGTCTTACCTTTCGGCTCCCCGGGTCCTCCCATCCTTGCTTTTTTTTCCTAACGGGGTCTGTAACTGAGACTTGGAGCGGATGGAGGAGGCCGGCATTAAACTGTCCATTATCTTCTCACAGGGACGGCCTTGCTGCTCATCCCACACCATCAGGCAAATGTCTGACTGAACAGATGGATGTCACAAAGCCATCAGCGTGCCAGTAACCTCAGGCACTGGCAGGCAGTGGGGGGACTCTCAAGGGGCTAGGTGCTTGCAGGCACCACCAAGCTCTCCCCACCCAAAGAGCAGTTGGGGAGACCTCGTGGCTCATCTGACACCCTGGGGAATGGGCTTCTTCCTCTTTGAAGGGCCAGTCACCCCCAAAGCAGTGACTTCTGCCAAACGAGATTACTGCATTTCAGATCTGTGAGAGCACGAGGGCAAACCAACAGGGGCAGGCTCTGCCCTGCCTCACGTGGCAGGGGCCTGCCTCAGTTTTCTGAAATGACTGATGGCCACATAATGCAACAAACAGAAGGGCCCAGAAGATGGCGACAAAGGCCGCTCAGAGTCACTGCTCATGGCCCAGACAGCTGGGCTAGGTGACTGACTGCTCATGTCTGCTGTCAGCCCACAGGCGTACTCGGGCCTGGTGACTGACATTCGGACTGCAATTGTCTGTTTTAACAAAAGAGGCATCAGGGTCATCACTATACATTCGGAAACTGAGACATCCTGACCCAAATCAGGATGCCCCCATCGTGATGATTTAGCAAAGGGCAGAAAGTCTAATCTGGACACTGGGCTTCAGGTCCCAGTTCTGCTGCAAGTTAGTTAACAAGTTCCAGAGAAACCAAGGCCTTTATCATTTAGCCCACTGATCATTATGTTTAGAATGTAAAACATCCACACATGCGCCTTAAAATAGCATTAAAGATTATTAAACTGAAATTCAAAGTGTATGATTACACTCCATAAACATTCATGTGTCTTGCTAGGGATTGTACTTACTTAAGAACATAGAGCATGCATATAGCAATTTGCCAGGCTAGCCCTTTCAAAGTGAGATGTCTTACCAGGTAGTCATGGAATCACAGCACGGGAAAGGAAAAGGGAATCACCCAGCAGGGGACAGAACACCTGGGCCTCTCCACGTCCCTAAGGTAAGGAGGGAAGCTAAGGGTGCCTCTTGGCCACAGACGGCCTCTACTAGCCCTGTCAGTGGGTACAACCGGCCATCGAATTCCACTCCTAAAAACCAAACTCTCCGGAGTTCATGATGTGAAACACTGATGTGTCATTGGAGTGAGAGCTCTTCAACCACTGCTGGGTTGCTCCTTCTCTTTTAGATAACAACGCTTTTGACCTTTCTTGGGGAGAAAAACAGGCCAAAATTCACTAATCAAACAAAAAAAGCTCAAACTCAATCTTTTGGCAATACGAATACACAGGCTCTAAAGAGAATCAAAAATTTCATTTTGATCATTTTGGCAGGCTTCTTGCTCTATAAATCTTTGTGAGGAGTTTAATTCAAATTTACTCTTTCCTGTTTTTTCTTGGCCCAAGACAGAAATGGCGAGCACCAAGTGGAAGCCAAAAGTGTGGGACTCTGGGCCACAGGTCACAAATCTGATCATTAACCCTGGAGGGCCTGAGGACGAGGACAGTGTGACTCCTGGAATCTCTCGCAGCCGGTCTCGTCTCGTGATGCTGCACTGATTCTTCTGCACTGCCCTTTACAACAGCTGTCTGAAGCACACTCCACAGACACCTGTGGCCATGCACTCACCTCCTCTCCTGGGTTGATCTCCTGCACAGCTCTCACTTCTGCCAGGGTCCCCTTGTAGGTCACAATGACATTGGGGCAACAACTATGATTCATCAATGCAACGCTGTCAATCAGAAGAGAAAACCCAATATTCTCAATGAGGCAGACAGACTGTTCAGGTGACTCCTCGGCTACTGACTTGCTAAGTTACAGGAAATGGATCTTTGCAGGACATTAAAAAAAAAACCTAATATTTGGCCATCGTATTCTGGGAGGTGGTTCTGCATGCATTTATCATATCTAACATCTTAAACTTTAACAATATTGAAAAGTGAAATCCGCAATTCCAAATGGTGATATTTAAGCCAAAAACAAAAAACACACAACAATAAAACAGCAGCAACAACAAATCCCACAAAAATTCCTTCCTGTTAGATGCAGGACTCAACACCCCACACCTGCAGCGAACTGCTCCTCCATTGTACAAGACAAATCATTTCCAATCAGCTTTTTATATCTGTGGATTATTTCTACCACGTTTTCTTCAGATGTTGAGAAATCGCCACCATGGGAGATGCCAGCTTCCTAAGTGAGGGCTTGTGATCCCCCGAGAGACCTGGAGAAGCCCATCTGGGTCTCTCTGCACCTCAATTTCCTCATCTGGAAAATTGGGACATTTCTGCTCCCGCTGCTCACTGTCTGCTTTTCAGGGCCGGCGAAGATAGAGAGACTCGCCTGTGCGAGGCTTTGAGCTTTCTGATTATATCAAGGTCAAAGTTCTGAGAACAGAAATTTCTAAACTACAGGGGAAAAGTGCTTGATCTCTGCAAATGCTGCCTTTGAAATCACAAGGCCGATACGATTTCAGCCCAAAGGGATTTTTTCCCCCAATTAAAACTGCCTGGAAACTGGGGCTCATATGGGCACTCACATCCATATGTATCATTGCTCTGGTGGCCGGTGTCACCTGCCCGAACCCTCGGCAACCAAAACCCCTCTCCTGTTTGCCCCGAGAATACAGAAACGCCAAGGGGCTGTGAAGCCTGAGGGAGGACAATGAACCGCCCCAGGTTGGCCGTGTATGACAGGGAGCGGCCCTCCTCCACGTCCCGGTTGTAAAGGTCTTAGGGAAGCGTGTGGCTGGCCATGAGCCTGGGACAGCATGTAGCAGCTTCCCTGTTTTGTCTTTGGGGAGGGTCGCCTCCACCCTGCATCACAGCCCACCTGGCTCCCTGGCCAGTGGTGCACAGATTTCCTAGACCCTAGGAAATCTGATAGACATATGCATTGCAAGTTGTTAATGGAAAAGCATTTCCAGAACCAGCTTGCAGAAGAAGTATTAAGTAATTCAGTTCAAGACAGCTCCCGGATATCTTTTTAATGAAGCTGGGGGAAATGCACCATAAGGCAAAGAACCTAAAACAACTCAGGCTCTTGGTATCATCATTCTCTTGGCAATCACAGAAAAGGGTGAAACAATACCACTCTTAACCTCTCTTTTAGTCTTTAAGACACTGAGAGCAGAGACATTCCAGAGTTCATTTAGTGTTGTCAACACAAGCCTTCTAAAGAGGGTCTCACAGCTTTTCTCTTTTTCTTTTTCCCTTTCCCAGGGAAAAAGTCCAAAAGAGGCTTTCTCAAAAATACTTCTTTCCTCACTATTGGAATTCAAACTGCAGATGACACACTTTGGCCACAGGATAGTAATATTACGTGAATATACTTTTTTGTTTCTCTGATTCAAGAAAGCCTATGACCGCTGCTCATGAGGCACAAACCTGCACAGATTCTTCCATATCTTTGAGACCTGTACAATGCACAGAGCTGGGCAGCAACAGACACACACACACCAGGAGCACGCACGTCATCCACGGCGAACGCACAGCTGTTAAGGGTTTCCTGCATTTGCTTCAACCTAAAGCCAAGGGCTCCTGTAGTGCATGTTAAGCAATGCCACTTTAGACGGAACTAATCCACAATGTGGATTAATTCAGACAAGGGATGCAAGAAGCGCTCCTTTGCTCCTTCTGTAAAGTGAGGGCTTGATTTCCGGGGCCTAAGCATTTTGAAAATACCCTTTCCATCAAAGAGACAATGGAAAAGCCATTCTTGGCAGTCTCTTAAAATCAGAGCTGTAAAGATCTCCATTTGTCAGCTGGCTAGTCTATCTTGAATTACTTAAGTATTCCTAAAGTAGAGAAAAATCTTATAGTTCTTTGAAATTTTCCCCTAGTTCACTACTTTAGCATATTCTCCCTCCAAACTGTGCTGTTTCTATACTGGTATTTTTCAAAAAGGAGAGATGGAGAAGAAGCTCATATATTCTCTACACAGGCCTATGGCCAATTCTTGGTTGACAATCAATGTTTTACTTTGAGTAAAAGAAATCCAAAGATTTCCAGAACCACAGATATGCAAAAAGCAAATTTCTCAGCAGGACATGGGCTGTTCCTTCTGTGCACACTGTAAAGTATTCTTTAATAACAGCTCTCTGCCTAGCAGGACTTAACAAGCCACTGTTCTCTTAACTACTGCTTTCGGATCCTTAAATGTAGGGGAAACATTTTGAAATCTGGCAGAATTGAAAGGGTGTCTTAATTCACTTGGAGTTTCATGTCTACCACACGCAGTTAGGTAGGTTATTTAAAAATCAAAAAAAAAAATCAAATTAGTGTTAAGTAAGTAAAAAGACAAGAAATGAAGTCAAACTCAGCTTACTCGGGAAATATGGCTGATCCCAAATGAGAAAGTTCTTCATCTTCAATTGTGAAGCCATTACAGTTAACCTGCAGTGAGAAAGGGGGAGAAAGAAAGAAAAAAAATGAGCTAAAGCATCTCTCTGGCTAGAAATCATTTCTTTTATTTTGACCTTTAACAAATTAACTAGGAAGATGTCCTGGTTTAGTGATTTTAAAACTTTTCTTTTGGCCACCGTATCCTTTTTTTTTTTTTTTTTTTTTTTTGTGAGGGAGATCAGCCCTGAGCTAACATCCATGCTAATCCTCCTCTTTTTGCTGAGGAAGACCGGCTCTGAGCTAACATCTATTGCCAATCCTCCTCCTTTTTTTTTTCTTCCCCAAAGCCCCAGTAGATAGTTGCATGTCATAGCTGCACATCCTTCTAGTTGCTGTAGGTGGGACGTGGCCTCAGCATGGCGGGAGAAGTGGTGCGTCGGTGCACGCCCGGGATTCGAACCTGGGCCGCCAGTCGCGGAGCGCGCGCACTTAACTGCTAAGCCACCGGGCCGGCCCTGGCCACCGTATCCTTTGTTCAAAGAAAATTTACCCATCAGTCCCATGTGTAAACAAGTAAAAGAAGAAGTGTCAGAGTTGCGTCACTCCTTAGTCCAGCCTACCCACTCACCTACACACAGTGGCCCAGGAATGCCACAGCCCCCTAAGGCTCCAAGGACTGAAGTCTGCCTATCTGCAGGGAGTTAGAATACCTGCAGTCTAATGCCAATTAAGCCACAGATCTGCTGTGTGATCTTGAGCCCATCACTGAGTCCCCCTGTCCTCAATTTTCTCCCATTAAAAAAACAAGTCACTTAATCCAGTGCCCATCTCATCAGCTGAGGTGGTAAATGTAAGAGGTCTTATACAGCTAATCTAACTGCTGCCCATCCCCTTGAGAGGCAGAGGGGCCAAGGCCTGAACTTAAGGAACTGAGACCTTCTTTTCATGTCTCAGCCAAATCAACCACTGGCCACTTTCTCATCCTTGAAAAGAGATGCTGCATTGAAAAATACCGAAGGTAACTCACACCATTCTGGAAGTCTAACTTAGAGCGAGCAGGCTGAAAATGAGGAACATACAACCCCAATTTTATGTTGTTTCATAAATTCATTCTTTCCGCAGACATTCGAGAGCCCTTATGTGCTGGGCGCTGTGAAGAGAAGGATGAACAGGCCAAAATCTGTGCCCTCAAGGAACACCCAGTCTATTGGGAGATAATTCAGTGAGTGTTTTTCATTTGTATCTAAAATTTCAGAGCTGGACGGAGACTCAGTCTCTTTACTTTTCAGATGATGGAACTGAGGTCAGAGAGGAGCAGTGACTTGCCCAAAGCCAAGGGCACAGGCTGAGACCCCAGCTCCAAGCTGCTGTGAAGGCCATCTGTAAGGCATGCATGCTGAATGATTTCACCCTGTGGGCTGGAACCATCCTCTTCCACACCAGAGACATCGCGCTGGTAAATTTCAGGCCAATGGATGGGCTTTATAACACCAGCATCCACTGACCGCTTACTCTGAGCCAGGCACTGGGCTAGGTGCTGCATATTTACCTTCTCATAAATCTGCAATCCTACTCTGGCATAACCCATTTTACAGATATGACTACTAAGGCTCAGGGAGGTCAATGATTAAGTAATTTGTTCAAGGCCATATAAATAGTGAGTGGCAGAACAGGAGTCAGAATTCAAACTAGATATTCTGACAGCAAAGCTGACAGAAATACACAGGTGTTTCTTTACACTACACCATGTTTCTTCTAAAATTGTTCTGATCTATGAATGCTCACATGGCAATTTTATTTAAAATTAAAGGGCCAATGGCAAAGGCTTGGAAATCTTGGTACACAGAGAAGTAAAGGCTATGAGGGGGTTGAGTTGTAGTTTTCACAATTCAACATATTTACAATAAGTGTTTACAATTTTCAATATAAAAAGAGGAGATTACTGCAGGTTATTAGAACAATACACAGCCTTTGTAATCCTGGGGTATCGGGCATTTCTAAGTAGAAGACTTAGCAAACTATTTTTTGTGCCAACTTCAAGTACCCTAACCTATTATGTCATCAGGACATTAACCAATTACCATTAACCTATGGTCATCAATTAACATTAGGTAAGAGTAAATTAGGATATTTCTTTATTCAACAAAATTTACTGGAGCAAGAACTGGGTGTCATGCACCTTACTAGGTACTGAATGATCTATATACAGTCTCAGACTGGACACCAACAGGCCTCAACAGTGTTTGGTACCCACAAGATGACAACACATGTTTGCAGAATGAAACAATGAATGAGAGAATTTAGCAACAATTTTCAAAACTGATCAAGTGACAGACAGCTCCTGACTAACTCTGAGGGGTGGGAGACTTTGCCTCTTTGCCTCTTAGTCTCTTCCTCTGCATGGAGCCCACCTGCACCGGCCTGTGACTCCAGATTCCTCCAGACTCGAATGTTCTGTAACCACTGGTCGCTTTATTCCCTCTGCCCTCCTCTTACTGTGGAAGAGTGAGTGTGTTTCTTCATAAGCAAAGTCTCCTGTAAGCACAGGTGTCATCACTGTTCCCTTCTGGGAGGTGGTGATGATGTTTAACCCAAATTGCATAGCAATTTGCCTGCCAGCTTTCCCTCCCTTCTGAAATAGCCCTAGAGAAGAAAAGTGAACTTGCGTGTTAAGAAAGATGCATGGGCCATAGACCTTTTTTTCAAGTCAAATCAGGCATAAGTGCCTTGCTAAAGCTATTCTCATAATTAGCATTTAGACTAGATGTAGGCTGCGCACCAAAAATACATTTCCCAACCATGCATATGTTCCCAGTGATTAAAACACACCATAGCGCTGTTGAAGGAGTACAGTCACCTTCTGTTGCCAGATGTTGCTGGTACACAAGTTAACCCACAATACCCTCTCATGAACCAGAGAGAGGAAAGGGCTCAGAGGCTGGAACAGCGGACACGCAGCCCGGGGCTGAGGGGCAGGACCAGAGGGTGGCATGGGGCTGGAACAGCACTTTTCATTTTTCCTTTATTTTCATATTGCTTTCATTTTCAGTTTTCTTTGGGGATACTGAAAGCCCCTTTCAAATTTTTATTTATTTATTTATTTATTTATTTATTTATTTATTTTTTTTTTTATTTTGCTGAGAAAGACTGGCCCTGGGCTAACATCCATGCCCATCTTCCTCTACTTCATATGGGATGCTGCCACAGCATGACTTGACAAGTAGTGCGTCGGTGCGCGCCCAGGATCCGAACCAGCGAACCCCGGGCCCCCGCAGTGGAACGCGCGCACTTAACGGCTTGCGCCGCTGGACCGGCCCCCCCTTTCAAATTTATAAGTGAAAAAAGATATGTGTGTGTGTATGTGTATTTGTGTGTATACACAATCTCAGAATAGATATTATGATTTGGTAAATATAAAGTCTATAAAGCAATTAATTATCTACAGTTACATATGTGTGCAGGTGCGTGTGTGTGTCTCTTTCTTGGATTTCCTGAGTCAGTCCAAATTTCAAAGACTCTGAGTCATTTTCACCACAAATATACTTCTGCTTGTGAGACAAATGCCTCGATTTTTGGTTGTAAAAATTTGGTCCCATATCTACTCCGTCAACACTGAGAAGTCCTACCAGCAGGCATTACCGTGGCGGAGGAAAAGTTACCTTTTTCTCACAGCTAGAAGAGAAAAGAAGATACCTTATATTTATTTCATCTCTCCTGCTTTCTCACATAACCATGCCTCATCTAGTCCAGAAAAAAAAGTCAGGTATCTAGTTTTTAAAATTATGTAAGAGAAGTCAATTCCTCAACCTTCCACTGTCACCCAAATCCAGTGGCTGAGGATGCTTAGCAAAGTATGGTGTAAATCCAGGATGATAATGTGAAAATCAGGAAAGTTTTTCCTTACTTCTATTTTAACACTCCTAACTTGAACCTATTTTTCCTTTTACAAACAACAGAATTTTTTTCTGATTATGACAATCACACAATAGAACTATATCAATATAAACATAAAGTCTATCAAGGAATTCATCAAAAAGTTAACAGTGGTTCCCTTGGGGGTGAAGTGGGAGAAAGGAAGAAGACTCACTTCTTTCTCCATATGTGTAATTTTTAAAGGGGAAGAATTATGGATGCTTTTTACCTCTTTCTTCCTTTTAGTATTTTCTTAAGTTATACATGTTCATTGTAGAAAATCCAGAAAATCATCCAACGAAAAAGCAAAAATTTTCCACAACTCAGAAGATAACCAATTGTGAACTTCCATTTAATCTTTGTCTAAGTATATATGTGTATTTTCATATTATACACATTTTTTATCCTACGTTTACACTTAATGTTATATCATCAGTGTTTCCCCACGTCTTTAGACATTCCCTGAAATGTAAGTGATAAAGGCTATATCACCTTCCATCACAAGGCTATGCCATAATTTATTTACCACACTCCTATTGCTGGCCATTTATAATATTTCCTTTTCCTTCCTCTTCTTCTTTTTTTTTTTTAAAAAGAACCCCACAATACACAATTTGCATGTCAATCTCTGTCCATAATCTCTGATTATTTCCTTAGCAGAGATTCCTGGGAATGGAATTACTGGGTCAGGGTGTACATAGGTGATACTTTTTCTGTTCTAAGACAGAAATGTGTAAGTATCCACCTGAGCTGTTTTATATATCTAAAGACTGAAGGTTCTGGTAGCAGAATGTAGCTACTTCACCCACCGAGCAGTATTTCAGTACTTCTGTCTGGGAAGGTCATCTTCAACTAGATGCCCAGCTTGTAGGGGCAAACGTGAGGATATATGAGGGAGAGAAATCCACTCTAGCAAGTCGTGCTAGGAAGAGCCACCCTCGCGATAACGGGGAGACTGAAACAGCCAGACCGCACATTCAGCAGAAGGGTGACGGCCGTACCTTTTTCCCTTGTGCTAACAATGCCCCAGCCTTAGCCTTTCCACACGGCTGGTTTCCAGTTTTTTAATCGCTTTGAAGTTGCTCCTGTCTAGAAGCCTCTCTAACTTTTTACTACATCTGACATTGGTAAACTTAGGCTTTTCTAAAGGAGATTTCTCAGCAACCATCAGGAAAAACTCTCTGTACCAGACCCACTCGGGCTCCCCTCTGTGGTGACTGTCCTTCCTAGGGCCATGAGAGAGAGCCTCCCACTTCGGGACATCTGTAGATGCCTCTGCTTTACCAACCCAGTGTTGGTGGGAGTAAAAAAACCACGATTGTCAGAATGGAAGGTTTACGAGAAGGAAAGTAAAATGTAATGTAGGACCCTCACGTGGTCTTCTCTTTTCAAAGATCTTACAGCATGCCATAGTCCTGGGGCACTGGCGACTCCTTTGTTTTTATAAACTGTTGCAGCAGCAGAGGCACAGGCAGAGGCGAACTTCCTGTGCTCCACCCATCAGCAAGGGCCAGCACAGAGAGGACCCCGATTGCTCAAGGTCACCCAGTAGGCTAAGCAAAACAGGTCCCACAGGTCAGGAGCCTTGTCGTCCAGTCGGTGCCGTTATTCTAGGTCCGTTCACCTTCAGTGAGCGAGAGCTGGGGAGAGGGGCGCGGGCAGGGAAAGGCTAGACTGAGTGCCACCTGATGCTGGCATCTTACCTGAGCAAACAGCACTACCAGGCGATCGTTGTCGGGGAATTCAAGGTGCTTGGAGTAAAAGTGATGGAGAGCAGCAATGTCACTCTGAATCAAATCCTTCTTCTCATTGTCTAATTTCTCCAGATCTGGGGATAAACAGTCCATTATTCACCAGGTAGAAAATTCTGAATTTCTAGCTACCTCCTTCTCTTACTGTAATATGTAGAGCCCCTAGGAAATGTTCTTCCCCATCACTCGGTCTAACTGATAAACCCTGGGGAAAGAAAGGCATGCCATTTCTTCTTTCTCTTCCTCTGACAAGTGGATAGCACTCGGCAGATGAAATTTCACCTGACCATTAGCAGGAATGAGTGGCAATGACTGATAAACAGCCTCAGCCTAGTCAAGGGCCCCCCCAGTTGCCCTGGCATCAGTGTCACGGTCAAGAAAGTGGACAGCCCCTGATTTAACGCCTTTCAGTAAGGATGTCAGCTGTTTACAGGACTGCAATTCAGCAAAGACCCAAAAATATTCAGCATGCCAGGAGAGCCAGCAGGAGATAGCTGGGGATGCAATAATTCATCCTGCGAGTTCTTTCTTTCCCTGAATTATTTCCCAGTAATCCTGTCAACTCAAAAAAAAAAAAAAAAAAGCTATAGTCATTTTTCAAAACAGCATACAAATCAAAATAAAAACTAACAATTAAGAAATCACCACCACCACCAAGAATACAAGCGACCCCTTCCCTTCTTCAGTCCTGCCTAATCCACATTAAATGTGTGGCTAAAAGAACTCCTCAGCCGGTCGCAGGAAGACTTACGTGATTCAAACTCCTTCACAGCTAACAATCTCTCTGAAGGTGTTCTCTCTGGGTGGATTTTCTAGTAATTGGGGAAGAAATCATACAGATACAGATTTTAACAACCAGTGCAGAAAGCTGCACTTTCTCTTTTACATTGACCTGAAGAAAAAGCAACAATTCTCAACGAAGCAAAGAAAGCCATCCAAGGAGTCTGCCACTTGGGCTCTGAGAGCGTTTGCCCAACATCCAAACCCAAAAGACTCTTTTGAAAAGCTTTTTAATGTGTCTGCCGCGTTCCCAACACTCTGATAATGCCATGCACACAGTAGGCTCAAAAATGCTTGTTACGGGAAAGAACGCTGGCTGGAAAACAACTTTTTAGGGCCCCGACTTAAAAGGACTAAGTTGGCAGATGAACCATCCTATTTATTATTTCTCCTTCTAAAAAAGGAACAAAATCAAACTCCCCAGCCATTTTACACTTTCTTTAAGCACAGGCTAAAATGATGTCAAATTCCGTGTTTCAAAAAGAACACTTTTGGTTGTATCTGTGAGCCCGGATTCACTTTAAACGTGTTGCTGGCTTTGTTCTAGACACCCCAAGAGGAGCTAACAATAGTAAACCCGCTAGGCTTTGAGGACATGAATAAACTTGGTGTTGACAAGAGTTCAAAAGCAGAGCAGGCTGCGTCTTTGTAATCTGGCTATTCAATTTGGGGATACAGGTGGTCCCGCAGGGTGCTCTCACCTCCCTAGTTAACATGTTAAGCTTCCCCTTGGTAGATGGGGTAGCCTGTCTCCCCTAATCCTTTGCAAGCTACTAGAATACAAATGGTCTGTGTTTTTAATCATCAAGTCCTATAGAGATGAAAAGATGGGCAGGTAACTTTCCATTTAATAGACTATTAGTAGGGGCAGTAATTATAATAAAAGTTGAATGAAACTGGTATAAACTCATCATAGCATTCAGACCTCCCTCCTGGTGCCAAAACATTTCAACAGTTCTTTTTTGGAGTCGAAATCTTCCATTCACGGGATACATTTCTATAAGATTCGTAAGTCCTCTTGCCTGGGAAGGCTCTTCATTCAGGAAAGTACAACAGCTTCTTCTGAATTCTTAACCACAACACTACAGACAACATCAATGAGTTGGGGGCAGGGGAACCAGCAGATTGGTCACCCCTCCTCCCCAGATGCTCACAGATCTAATTTGATGGCTTTTTTACCTTGACGCCTCACCCAGTCACACCATTTCCTCCTACCCCTTCCTTCTGACCAAGTACTCCACATACATTTACAGATAATTGTTAGTGCAGATCCAAAAAGTTAACCTCCTCCAGGGAAAACAATTCTGATTTTTCGGTCTCACTTTACAGGCAACCCTTGAATGCCTTCGGTTACCCTGAGCTGGTAAAGTGGCATCTCAGCAGGCGCCTGACCCAAGCTGAACATAAGGGAACAATGACCTCAGAGGTCGGAAATGCTTGACTTCTGTTTATGCGGTCCAGGATCCTAACTTGGTCTGGGGACAGCTATGTGCTACTCACTACGATCACATTTGGCTTCGATAAAAAATAGAAAATTATAAAGGTGGGGGTGGTGGCAGGTATAAAGAAGATGTGGATGAAATTTCAGCTTTAAAAGATTGACAGAACAGAGGCCCTCCCTGCTACCAACTGATTATTAGCAAGTGCCTCTGCGGATAGACGCCTCCTAAGCTCCACACGGCCTATTTCATTGTGTCACAGGGACAAGTCCTACAGGGTCTGGAGATCAGGCGTCTCATTACCACGCCATCAGTGAAGACTGACCAAACCCAGGAGAGCAGCCAGTGCCAGCACCACCTTTGGAGGACCTGTTGTGGCCATCATCTGTTCCCACTGGGAGCATTTCTTTCTTTCCTTCTTCTTCCTTTTACCCTCTTCCTCTCCCCCCTTGCCTCGATTTCTACTCTTCCACTCCTTCTCTTTCTTCTCCTTTGCATATGCCACGCTGGTTGTTCCATCCCACTCCTCGCCGGCCTAGGCTCAGGCAAGCACGGAGACAAGGAAGAGCAGGACATTGCATAGGACAGGGAGCGGGGCAGGGCGCACTCTTTGTCAGAAAGAACAGGGGAAAATCTTGAAGCTTTGCAGGCCGGTCTGGTTCCCTAGGACACTCTTAACTATTTTCATTCAGGTTTCCGCGCCATGAAAGGCCATATTTTTCTACGTGAACCTGTCTCATACAAAGCTCAGTATTTAATGGCTGCAGCTACGTTCCTGGCCTGGGGTTAGCGACATCCCAGTTGCACAAGGCAAACACAAACCAGCTTACGTCTGGAGTGCTGTTCCACCCTCGTCCATGTGGATGTGACAGGAAATAGAGGTCAAGAGTGTTTAAAAGAATGTTTCACAAGGGATGATCACCATAGGTCAGTTACTCATCTTTCTGACCTTTAAGAAAAAAACAAAATAAAACGCACTTGAACATGATCCCATTTCCTCACCTGTTTGGCCAGAATCCTTGCAGTTAGCCTTACAGTCTCTGATGGATTCCAGTTTTCCCCAAAAACAACCATGGGAGAACATTCCAGCTTGTGCATGGGCCAATCTTCTTTCTGGAAAGGTTAAAAAACAATTATTAAAAACACACACACACACTGGAATAAAGTACAAGAAGAGAGGATGCAATAAGTCCTCCTAGTTAAGGTCAAGTGAAATATGTTTCCTTTTGGAAAACACGACGATGCTCACAAAAGCTAGAGATAAAAACATCCTTTAAGATAGATGCGGTTGTTTAACCTTGCTTGGGCCCAGCCAAGGTTGTTGGGATGAGAAAACGTGCTTTGTGTTTTCTCATCAAGTACCTCGTGTCTTTCTGCGGCCCCTCATTATTCCGAACAACACATACACATTTCCACTATCTGTGGAAGCTGTCAAATCGCAGGGGTGAGTGATTTGGGTATTAGCCGCTGATTTGGCTCTGCTCCCTTACAGTTGTGTTCTGGCTCTGACAGTGGATGGGCCCAGCAACTAGTCCCCTTTCGCAGGTGATAAAAATAGAACACAAATGAGGGCTTTGTCAAGGGCCCTCAAAGAGTCTGTTAAGGGCACCTACTGGGAATATTTAGGAATACCGACTTTCTAAAGATTCATTTGATAAAATAGGAAAACTGTATTTCTTTCCATCACCTGTCTTGAAGCTTTCATGCCCCAGGTTGAAGACGAAGGATATGCACTCAGTACTAGAAGGGTGGAGATGCCATCAGTTGACATGGGGAAGGCTGAGGAAGGAGAAGGACAGCACGGTGTTGTGGTGGCTAAGGAAGAAAGCACTTTGAGGAGTGGGGAGTAACTGATAATGCCAGCACTGGTGACGAGGTCAGTGTGGGGTGACTGAGAAGCGACTGGACATCATGGAGGTCATCGCTGACTCTGAGAAAAACCAGTTGTGGCAAAAGACGAGGACGAGAGGTGCTGGGAGTGGATTCAAGAGAGAGAGGAAGGAGACACGGAAACTGGGAGAAATGGGGTGTAGGCTTAGGGGATAAAGGGTGCAGGGGGAATTATTTTTTAGATGGGAGCTATCAGAGCACATTTTGGTACTAATGGGAATCTTCAGACACTCTCTTTCTCACAGTGGAATGGGGTACTGTCTTGTTCTTCCCTTAGCCTTTCCCATCTCAGAAAACAGCCAGTCCATTCTTTCAGATGCTCAGGCCAGAAACCTACGGTCATCTTTGCCACCTCTCTGTACCTCACACTCCACATCCAACTCTATGGAAAATCCACTGTCTCTGCCTTCAGAACACACCTAGAGTCTGATCACTTCTGATCACCCCCACCCTCCTACCCTGCTGCAGCCCTAACACCTCTCACGCGAACGCTGCCCTTCCCTTCTACCTGATGCCTGCTTCTGCCCCTGCCTGCCACCGACTATGCTCAGTAGAGCAGCCAGAGTAGTCAATCCTGTTAAACAAAACTCAGATCATGCCCACTCTCGGCTCAGAACTTTCTAATAGCTTCTCATCTCAGAGCAAAAGGCAAAGTCTTAAAGCTGACTTATGAGGCCACACAAGATAGGAGCCCCCGTCTGCTCCTCTGACCTCCTCATCTCCTACCAGCTCTCCTTTGCCTCACTCCATGTCAGCCACACAGTCTCCCTGTTGTTCTCTGAACAGAACAAGCAAGGTCCTGCCTCAAGACCTTTTCCACTTGCTGTATTTCCCGGCTAGAGCCCTCATCCCCTAGATATCCATATCGCTCCCTCCCTCCCTCCTCCAGGTCGCTGCCCCAACGTCACCTTTTCAAGATACCTGCCATGAACACTCTAGCAAAAACAGCACTTTCCCCATCACTCTCCCTTGGCTTTATGTTTCTTCTTAGTACTTCTCACCACCTGATATATTATGTATTCATTATTTTGGTTTAGTATCTGTCTCCCCCCATTAAAATAAAGGGACTTAGTCTGTTTTGTTCACACCTATAAACCCAGAACCTAGAACAGTACCTGACATTTACTAGGCACTCAGTAAAGTTGTTGAATGAATGAGGATGTCTCCCTATGTCCTTCCCTCCACGCCCATTCTAAGGAGGAAGGATACAATGTCACTTAATGACTTAATGAAGTACGTACATGGTACAGGCCCTTGGCTGAAGTTCTGTGCGAAGATGTTCCGCAGAGTTAAATAACACTGTGCCGAATATAACTAAGACCAGGGAGAGAAAGAAATGACAAGACATCCACAAGGGAAAAGAGGATCTGTTTTTAGCCAAAGGCTAAAACGACAGCACAGTGATGAGGCAAAGAGGTAGGAACAGGTGGGTCCAGCTCCCTGCAGACAAACCAGCTCCCTCTCCAGATGCAAAGCAAAAAGGGAAAGACAAAGAGGGCTTCAGGCCTTGGGATATCAGAGGGAAATGGCGACCACCAGCTGGGGACAGATGGATAACTAACTATGAACAAGTGTCCACTATGACCCCAGAAACTCTAAGAAAAAGTCTTTGCAGGGCCTTTAAGGTGCTGGTTCTCTGAATGGTAGGTGTTGTCTTTGGTGTGTAACAACCATGAGCTCCTGGGAGAACGAAGTTTAATATTAACATTTCTAAATATGACTCAGTTATTATTTATTAATAGAATTAATTTATTAATATAAATCATATAAAATTAATGTTAATATAAATAATACAATGTTGACATTTACTGATGTAAATGTCCTCAAAGGGAAGGGAACCTAACTACAAGGAATGCTCTGAGAGGAGAGGAGAGTGCTGTCAAGTAGGAGGACACTGTTCTGGGGCTCAGGAAACCTGCATTCTTATCCCTGCTCCTCAGCAAAGAAGCTATGTGACACTAGGTAGGCCTCCTAATCCCTTTGCATCTGTATCCTTGGCTGTAAACAACATGATCCCTAAGTTACTTAGCAGGTCCAGAATCCTGAGTCTATAATTTTACACCTTCCAAGAGTGATAATCAGATACAAAGCTTGAAGACTACCAAGAAATGCAGGACCTTCAAAGAGGGAGAATCAGGCATTCATGCAACCATAAAGGGTTGTTGTGAGGATCGCATAAGCTCATCCACAAGAAGCTCTTAGAACAGTGCCTGGCACCCAGTAACTGTACATTTACCGGTTCATTCATTCATTCCGTGGGCCCTGCAACTGACCCCAGAGGCAGGGACCAGAGATGAAGTCTTTGACTTTAAGTAGTTTCTGACCATATCAGAACACGAGGTAAAAGTAAGACCACCCATAATGTGATACAGTCCCACACGCAGCAGTTAAATCAGAAAGCTGGACAAATTCAAGGAAGTGCAGAATGACATAAGTTTCTTTAAAGGAAATTTACCAGAATAATAATAAGTTTTCACTTTCTATTGGAAGGTGATGAGAGACGGGGATCAAGGGAGCAACGACACAGATGTACCATAGTGGCACTGCTCGGCTTTAATTCTTAAAAAAAAAAAAAAAGGTGGGGGAGGATGGGATCCGGTAGAAATGTTGGAAAGGTTCTGAGCACATCTGGACACACCTTCGCCATTCATAGAGATGGTCCACATATCTTAGAGAACCTGACAAAGGCAATTTTCCCATAAGAAATTCTAAACAATCAGATTGGACAAAATGGAAAAAAAAATTTAGGCTAGCCTGATGAATAAGAATGAATGTTATCAATTACTAGTTTGTTTTTGTTTTTTTAGTATTGGCAGTTTCTTTGCATAGAGAATGGTTTTGCGACACTTCGTGCTTTTTAAAACATTTTTGTCAGTTTTTCTAAAACTTATTCTACTCCTTTTCTTCAAAAGTCAAGCTATTACTCTTGCCCTGATTGCAATCTTTATAAAATTTTATGTAAACTCAGGTCCTATTTTCCAGAAAAATAATACAGTCATGCACTGCATAACAATGTTTTGGTCAAGTACAGAGAGCATATATGACGGTGGTCCCAGAAGACTAGTACCACATAGCCTAGGTGTATAATAGGCTATACTATCTAGGTTTGTGTGAGTACACTCTGTGATATTCACACGACAAGCCACTTGCCTAACACATTTCTCGGAACGTATCCCTGTAGTAAAGTGAGGCATGATTGTATCCAAATAAATGCATAGGAAGGATTCAGAAGGACAGATCCCAAAGTGCTACTAGTGATGTTCTCTGGAAGGATAAGATTACGGATACTCTTTCTGTTCTTCTTCCAGTCCGTACTTGCTGATTTTTCTATAATGAGCACAGATTATTTGTGCAATAAACTTAAAACAATCAAATCTATGTAAAAGTAACACATGGAATTTTTTCGTACCCTTTTTAAACTTCTGATTCACTTTCAGCCACTGTAGTAACTGCTTTGCATGACTTTGCTTTTCGTGCGTGGACAAAAATGTTTCAAGATGCAGAAAGAGCTGCAAAATTGTCTCATGCTGTACCAGCAGTCCCAACACTGGAAGAAAAGAGTGATTGTTATGTCATCCAGTTTTCTGCTGAGCCAATGATACATTGTCTTCCTGGATAAGGAGATTGGATTTTTATTGTGAAGTCCCCTTTCCAACTCTTGATTTGGTGTTTCTCTTGTAATGGAGCTTTCAAAACAGACACAGTCTACCTGTACACGTGCATATGTAATTTCCTGAAATGTGGAATAGTGTGCATATGTGATCTCTTAAAATGTGGAATAGTAAGAAAATGTCATAGGATTTCTGCTCTCCATTACATTATCTTCAAGAGGAAAAGTGCAAAAGGAATAAGGTGCACACTGACCATCTCATACGAAGACGACTGACACTGCTGAACTCCCATCGCGAGGACAGATGCTTGGTTTTATATTCCCATAAAAGAGTGATGGGATTTGTTCATTCATACACATTTTCTCCAACTGATGACGTTAAACATTTAGAAAAAGGAATGGCTCGGTTTACATGCTTCCTATGTCTGGGTTAAGAGACCAAATTGAATTTAACCAGGATTGGACCTACGACTCTGGCCCCACTCACTAATCCCCCTCAACAACGACCAGGTCATATAAGCATTTCTTAAACATTTTCCACATTTCGGTTATTTTCTAGTTGATAAAAGCCAAGAATTTTCTCACATCTTTAGTCGCATGCTCCTCACACATGCTTTTTTATCCCCATCAGGGCATGCCCCTTCCTACTTCCAAGAGCACGCTCATAACCCCATGACCTCCATTTGCAAAACACAAATAGTTTTTTTCTATTTGTTAATGTTAAAAAATAATACCCTACATGCAGCCCAAGAATGTTCTCCTCCACAGTGATTCCTCTACACAACAACTTTCTAAAACTATTCTCTTGAACATGTCATGGTGCAATTTAATGAAGACGTCTCAGTGAGTGAACAACACACTTAGCTTTCCAGGCATATTTATAAAAATAAATATAGTTCATTAAAACACACAGGTTACAAAACAAGCCTAACTAAAAAGGAATTTCTATTTCTTTTATATTTCCTCCTATTACCCTTTCATGCGTCGTCAATTAAAATCTTTCCTCTGGCAGGATCACAGTGAGTCAAGTGAATGAGGAGGGAAGTAAACAGGACAAGATACGTATAGCCAGATTGTATAAAATAAAGCAAAGTCCTAATGCACTGCAGATAGAGAGCAGAATAAACATAGTGACTGGGATTTCCTAAGATGCTGTATTCTGTGGAAAGAGGAAACCCTCCACGAGGAATGCGTGCTTTAGCCCTCTTGGACAAGTTTCTGGCAAAGACAACAACACCGAAAGGGGCTCTTCCCTTTCACACTCATCAAAGGCCACTTCTCTTTCTTTGACACATTCCCACAGTACCTCTTCTGGAGAGTCCTCAGGACTCTCAAGCAGAGTGATGGGAAGTGGAAAAAGCCCTTCCCTAGCAGTCGGTACAGTCGAGTCCCAGTTCTGCCACTGTGTGACCTTGGGCAGGTCACCCAACCACTGCAGACATTGTTTTCTTACCTACTGACGGGTTGGAGCTGATAAGCTCCATTCCAACCCCACCATCTGCTGTGTGATACCGACCACCTGTGACTCCAGGTGGGTGGGGTCTACCTTTGAAGAAGGCCCAGTTAATGACTAGCAGCTGAAGGCCATGCTTTCCTAGGTGGAGAATCACTCAGTTACCTTCCTCTTCGCTGCTCATTTTGCGCCACGTTTTATCTTGTAGCAGAGCCTCCACTTTGATCCCATCCAAGTATTCCTTTAGGCGGAACCCTGAATACATTTTTATCTGGAGCAAATGCCCCAGATTCCTCCCTAATGATTTTATGTAGGAAGCCCTTGTACAGCCATTTATTTCTAGGCACTTACTTTTATTAAACCCTTATGACCACTCTATCTCATTATAATACACTGCCCTGCACTTATGCAGTTCTTCAGTACTGAAGGATGGAACACCTTAATGGCCATTAGCCTCTTCCTTCAACAATAGGAGACAGATGAAATGAAAATGAAACTTATGGGTCATATCCAGCCTGTCACCTCGAGAAACAAGGGGCTGCAGGAGCTGTGTTATCACTCGTCATCTAGGAGGGTACTCTGGTCACTAAAGACTTAACAGAAGCATTGAAAAATTGAATTGCAGAGGTACTCTCCAGGGCTGAGGGTGCCCTGGCCCAGGAACTGGACGAGTAGCAGGGAAGAGTCCACATCATGAGGCTGACACAGCAAGCTGTCTTGGCCTAAGGCCTTTGAACATGACTTAGAATCACATGACTGTATCCTCCATCCTGGGGTTCCTTGCTACCCAAGTGATCTCATTATGATTTGACCACCTGTACAATTTGTCTACAGGGGGAGAATGCACAGACTGTCACACTGCTGTTGTAAAGTAATAAACAGGCACTCATGGTACTTACAGGTTGGTGTATTTGGTTAATGTGAACCTCCCAAGGGAAGGCACCCCTCACTGTGTGTTCATAAATGAGGTTTGTGAGTCTGCAAGTCTGGCAGACTAGGTCCTGAAGGCAGGGGAACCAAAATGGCCACCTCAAAAACTCCAACTTGGACCATGATGATTCATCAAAATAATGCCACCTAGTGAGGCCTCATGGAAGAGAGCTTAGCAGCACACTCAGGACACCCAGAGATAACCTGGCATCTCTCACATTCTGAGGTTTTATATTAATGCAGACGTCACAGTTAACTAGAGAAGTTAAGACTCATTTTGTAATAAGCATTACTCACACTATAACGCACACCACTAGTGTTCTCAAGTTCTTAGAATCCATCCATTCTCTTAGGTTAAAAAAACAAGTCCCTTAAATCTAAAGTATGCTGTATACTCTATTCTTTGCATAAAGCTAAGCTTCAGCCCAGTCTGAATGACTGTAATATTATTTTTCATATGCCCTTACACCTGTATAACATCACAGTTTATACAGAACTTTTATATCTATTGTATCACTAGGCCCTTACAATTCATCGGGATGTGCACTATTGTCTTCACTTACATTTGAAGAAATTGAGACTCAGAGACGTCCTGTGACTTGCCAAGTTCATAGAGCTAGTAAGCTGCAGCGCTGGGATCACCTCCTCCTCCTAGTTCATGTTGTATTGTCTCAACTGTATGTGATTTGCTATCTTGTTTCTCTCAAGAACCAGAACATAATGAGTTAATTTTTCTAGAAGCGTTTAACTTAAATATAGAAACAGCTAACTTTTCAGGCCTGGAATCAAATCACGTAATTCCCAGGGCTTGCTGATCTCTCCAATGCCGCGGCAATCTAACCCCAGAATGTTCTCTCCACAATGGGTAGGTGCAAAGTATGATCTCTCCTCTTCAAATGAAGGCACATTCCCTGGAAACTCAGCTACCAGCCCATTTACATTCTCGCCGTCACGCAGGCTGACAACCTCTGGAAGCCTGCGTGGGAGACACAGGGAAGTAGACTGTGCATGTGGCCTTCGGAGCCAAGGAAGACATTCCCAAGCCAAGGGCTCGGCCTGTGCTTATTCTGGCAGGGAGCTGTTGTGACCAGAGCTCTACGGTCAGATGAGAAATCAGGCTTAGCAACCTCTCCCACTGCTACATAATGCTCTTTGGGGACTTTCAGAGGCCAACCTCATAGGGAGAAGAGAAAGAGAACAATGAAATAGTGGGTAATCAGAGGTAGCCTAGGGGTTGGGGTGGTAGGGGAGGTGAATGACACCAAGTATGGGAAGAACAACAACAAAATGAAGTGCAGATATGGAGAAAATCATTCCTGTCACTTAAAGCCACCATTTAATAGCATCAGCTTTTCCCGAAGTGTATTAATAGGTTTCCCTTAAAAAATAGACTGAGGAGGGTTTACAGAGGTTGAAGATCATATTCTCCCCAAATTCAAATTGTTAGAACACAGAATGCATTTTCTGTGGAATACCCATGAACGTTTTGTGGAACTAGTATCTAGTAGAGAATTTTGGAAAACACTATTCTTAGTTCCTCAAAGAGCGTACCAAGAGCTCCTCCGAACTCCTCCTTAAGCTTGCCATTCCCGTGTTACAGGATTTCCTCGAGACTTATCCATCAGACCAGATGACCCACGGTCTACAAGCAACCAGCCTCCTGAACCCACTCAGCCCTGGCCGCTTCCGAGGCTCTAGTTCCAAGTACAAGTTCAGAGCAGCCGCTGTCTGGCTGTACAAAGGCTTTGCCAGGGGCTATCCTAAGTCTAGCTGGGGTCAGGCTGGGTCCAAACAGCCCAAGAGGGATGTGTGGCCTGCTACAGGGATTTATAAACATACAGACCTGTGTCAGTAAAAATTTTAAAATTTTAAAGATGGCATTTTAACATTTTTCATTTGTCATCCCTGCATGTTCCATCTGTTGCTGGCAGCCTTGGGGGCAAACTGTCAAGCTTGGTAATACACCTGCCTGTATCCAACATGGCTCTCCTCCCACTTCTCCTGCACTTCATTTTTGGTCCTGCATGTGGCCCCAAAACGTTACTGCCTATCACCGGCTGCCTGTTAGCCCTGGGCCAGCACCGAGGGGTGTCCAGCCACATCCTCCGCCACAACTAAGCTTTCCAGCTCTGGCTGCAGGAGGGTGCTGGGGGACGCCATGACAAGGAAGAGGAGGACATTGGGGTCCCGATCTTCAGAGGAAATAAGGCCCTCCCTGCCAGGTGGCCCAGCACCTACCTGACACTCCACATTGCAGTAAAATGCCTGCTTGCATCTTCCACATTTGGACAATCCTTCTTTCCTTAAAAACAGAAAGGGCACTGTAGTGGCGAGAGGCAGAGAAACGTGAAGCTGCACATTTTATCATGCAATCATAAAAGCCATCTGGTCGGAAAGCAGAGCCAAGATGCACCTTACCTTACTCTCCCACCGAGAAGTGGCATTTTCCCAAAGGAGATTTTGACCAGATCCAGTCTTTGAGTAGGAGCGAGTTAGTCAAATCGCACACGCTCCAACAGTTACCGATCCTGACAGTGTGAAGGGCATTTTCCAAAGAGATGAATACCATGCTTTTTGACTCATGAGCCTGGCTTGGGACGCCACAGCTGTTAACATCACCTGCACTATTACTCAGTAGTTTGGGGCAAGTCAAAGGCTCTTATGTCCTCATTTTCTCACCTGCTCAAGAGGGACAGAAATAAACAGAACCGTCTTGGAGGTCTGATGTCACAATGACAGAGGGTTGGGGTACACCTACCCTGGTGAAAACGCGATGTGAGTGACAACCTTTATTATTTAGAGACGGAAGAAATGCAGAAGATAGAATTGAGTATGTCAGCAATTTAAATGTTGTCCAGAAAAGTTTAAAAATAATGCAACTGAGCAAGCGGGGACGTATTCTTGAAGAAAATATTATTGGATCTGATTGGTATACCCCCCCACCTTGTCAGTGTACTATTGAGCGACTCTTCTGCCTCCTTCATAATTAGGTCAATACTCCCCGTTTGTTGCCATATTATCGTCCTGCTTCCCATAAAGGACAAAGATGTTGTTTCTTAGCTGTTAGGTGCTGGTGTGTTTGTTGTGTTAGACAAGCCACAGCTTTTTCAAAAATTGTGAAGCCACTGAATCAAGCCACACGCAACAGAATTTTTAAAAAATTTTTTGAGGTGAGGAACAACTATGGCGTTAAATCAGAGCGCTATCTGTAAAACCCGCTGTCTGATTCTCACCCACCCCCCCAAAGCCAGCTCTCTGACTTGTGGAAATGCCACAACCAGGCCGGGCATTCTCGCTGCTGCCAGGGGTGCTGCACTGCAGCGGAGCCGCCCCATCCCCAGCCCTTCTGCAGCGTGCCTGGAGGCGCTGACATTTTATAATAGACATAATCCCGCTGCAGAGTCCTCCTCTGCTCCTTGTCAGCGAGTGGTAGTCACCACACTACTCCCACGGAATCAAGAAAGCATTCCGAAAACGCTACTGTTGGAACTAAACAGACTGCCTTGCAGTTTTCATGACAGCGCTTGGATTCCAAGAAGCAGACTGAAGAATGTGTGGGAGAAAAACACGTCTTGTGGGGGAGGCATAAATAAATATTCCAAGTTTGCACATCTCAGTAGTTCAAAAAGGAACCCACTACTTTAGCAGAGTGTATTCTCTGGCCTGAAATACCCCCCACGGGTGCATCTGAACAAGATGCATGGTCCCTGCTCTCTTTCATTTCATACCAAGGGAAAAAGGACAAAGGTGCGCTCAAAAACAACTGTGAAGTGACTTGTAAGCAACTGCTAAGTGATGTGGACCAGGAAGAATCGCCAAGGGGATGGAAACTAAAGATGGTTAAAACCAGGGGGGAATTTTGAAAATTCTTTCCAAAAAGAGGTGCATTTGCAAATGAATAATGGATGGGTAGATGCCACCCCATAAAAATGTCCTTCTGAAACAGTCATTGTTAATGTTTGTTTCTGTAGGAGGAGAGGTCACAGAAGCTCTTTGAGAATTTGATTGAAGCTATTAACTCCCCTCAACAACCCACCTTCTCCCCGAGCCCCAAAAAACAACAGAAAATTTTGTGAAATTTCAAGGGCTCATGAGCCACCTAAAGCCCATACACAGACTGCTGAAGAGCCTCTGAAACCAGAGTTAAGACCCCTTGATATAAAAGAATAGGAAATTATCACAAAAATATCTTTATATTTTATATTTTATATTTATATAGCTCTACACCATACAAAAAAGAAAGGATTATATAGGTCTTCCTGCACAGATGGCAGCAGTAAAGTAAACAGGAAACCAAGGTTTGTTTTCAGCTTTAAGGTAACATCCCAGGGAGAGAGAATGCAATTGGACTCTGGTGAGCTAGGGAGGACTCTAGCGGGATTTCAGCAAAATAACAAATCTCCCAAAGGCCAGGCTTCATTCAACCCAGCCAGTCACCAAGTCCACAAACCACAAACAATGAAGAACAGGAAGAAAAAGCTAACGTTAAGTGTTAGCAACATGCTACATAATTTCTGCTATCGACCCCAGTGGTTCTCAAGGTGTGGTCTGCAGACTTCTGAGGTCCCAGAGACCCTTTCAGGGAGTCAATGTGGTCAAAACTACTTTCAAAATATTACTACTGTCTTGACATTTGTGTTGCAGAAGGTGTAAGATGTAAAGGTGCCTGGAGTGCAAAACTTCTGGTGCCTTCGTACAAACCAAAGCAGTGGCGCCAAATTGTCCCAGTATTCTTCACCTCCACACACTCATAGTACGGGGCCAAAGCCAGTTTCACTTAAGAATGTCCCTAAGGAAGCAGTGACAAATATTAATTTCATTAAATCTCAACTCTTCAGTATGCATCTTTTTGATATTCTGTGATGAAATAGGAAGAAAGCATAAAGTATTTCTGCTGCCTACTGCAGTATGATGGCTGTCTCAAGGAAAGGCACTTGGTGATCACTGGATTATCAAGTGAACTAGCCACTTGTTTCTTGGAATACCATTTTACTTGAAAGAACAACTTTGGACAAACTGGTTACTATGACTTGAGTATTTGGCAGACATATGATGGAAATGAATTAAGTGAGCCTGTTACATCAGGGAAAACAATTGGCAATATTTGTTGCCAATGATAAAATTTGGGCTTTCGAGCAAATATTAGAATTTTGAAAAACATATATCTGCCACCCTGAGCTTGACAGTCTCTCATATGATGAGATTGGTGGTGATACTAACAATTGTGATTTTTTTGATATAGTTTAATGAAATGACTCAACTTTTAGAAGGTGTATGTAATTTAGTGCACCAATATTTTCCAAATGACCAGTGTTTGATGTTTTAAAAATTATGCATGGCTAAAAGAGTCATTCAAAGTACAAGATAGACCAAGGGATTTTAATGTAACAGAGTACATAAAGTTCACTGACATGGCTTCAGATTGCACATTACAACTAACCTTTAAGACAATATCACTTTCCGAGTTTTAGTGTTGAATCAAAGAATATCCACAATTAACTGAAAAGGCTATTAAAACGGACCTCCCTTTCCAATTATGTACATATCTACACGAGGCTGGATTTTCTCCACATAACTTCTACCAAAACTACATAATACCACAGACTGAATTCAGAAGCATATCTGAGATTCCAGTTGCCTGCTGGAAATGCAGACATTAAAGAGATTTGCAAAACTATAAAACAACATCACTATTATAATGCTTTTGTTTTGGGAAACTTCTCACAAAAAATGTTAACAGTAATGGAAAAAAAACAGTAATGGTTATTGCCATTTTAAAGTGAATGCTTTATAATTTTCTGTTTTAATTTCAAATATGGTAAATATTGATAAATATAACCCATATGAACAAAGGCTCCATGGAGTTCTCAATTTTTCAGAACGTGGAGGGGTCCTAAGACCAAAAAGTTTGAAACCTGCTGATCTATCTTAATAATTATATCAGCTCTATGAAGAAGTTATTACTCCTGTTTTTCAAATGAAGACAATGAGGATCCTAGAGGTGAAACATCTAACCCAACATGGTCATTCAGCAAGTAGGTAGCAGAATCCAAATTCACATACCAAGGTGTACATTTTGTCTTCATCATACAAGAGTATCTTTCCTTGAGTACTGTGACAATTATCCAGGAGGATATACTACTTGAAGCAAAAATAATCTATATGTTTGGATAAGCTAATAGTAATAACAAAGCATAAGTAAAGGCATTCTTTGGTCTGCATCATGTCCCAGCTCCCATGGCATCCCGTCAATGTCACTTTGCTTCAAAATGAAATTTGGGGACAGAGCATCCCCACAAAGAGGGCCTTCCAACCAACTGCAACACAGGAATCGATTTCACTTGAAATGCATTGAAACAAAACAAAGGTTGATTTTCTATTTAGTTTGTGCAAAGAAGGTGCATCCCTCTCATTCAGTATGTCAAATCTAAGTGTTCCTCAGACACACACTGGGCGAGTCCAAGCTGGATGGTGTCCGCTGGGAACCGGGTGACAGAACACTGCAGCTCTCACAAACAGCTGAGAAGCTCTGCCTGGCTGGGGGCAGATTTTACTGTATATACGCTCATTAAATCAACCACCTGGTTATATGTGAATTTTCTTAACATAGATCATCCTGAGCCCGACTGCCTTCAGAGTAGAGAAGGAGAAAAGCTAAGCCCGTCACTGAGAGCGAATCACTTAAGAATCTCCTTTGGGGGGCCGGCCCGGTGGCGCAAGCAGTTAAGTGCGCGCGCTCCGCTGCGGCGGCCGGCGGTTTGCTGGTTCGGATCCCGGGCGCGCACCGAGGCACTGCTTGGCAAGCCATGCTGTGGCGGCGTCCCATATAAAGTGGAGGAAGATGGGCACAGATGTTAGCCCAGGGCTGTCTTCCTCAGCAAAAAAAAAAGAGGAGGATTGGCGGATGTTAGCACAGGGCTGATCTCCTCACAAAAAAAAAAAAAAAAAAAGAATCTCCTTTGGTATGAGCAATTCTAGACGAGGTGGAGTGGGGACAGGAGAGGGAGCTCTGTTTATATTATCCAGATACGTGCTTCATGCTCTAGTTCTTCCCATACTAGGGAGAGATGTAAACTTTTATAAGCCTAATGTTTGAAACTCAAACCAAAATTTGCTGACCTGGTACCTGCACTTTGTGTGTGCTTGAGAGAGAAAGAAGGAGAGAGAAAGAGAGGAGATACCCTATGAGTATGAGTGTTTGACTCTTGCTGACTGAGAAGTTCAGCCAGAGAGAAACTTCATAGGGGAGATCCATTTTCACTGCAGGAATATACAAGGCATTTGGAATAAACTCTGTTCCTACAAAAGACACAGCCGTAAATCTTTCATTGCCA